AAAAAAATAAAAGCAAAAAATAAATAAATTCAATACCAAAATGTACTACAAGTGCACATCACAAAATACTTTAAAATGTAAAAAATTTAATACATTGAGCATGAGATTTTTTTTATTTTTTGCATTTCAACATGAAACTAAAAATAAATCTATTTATTAAAAATATATTCTTATCTCTAGATTTTAGGGGTGATAGACTAAAATATACAGTCAACTTTTTTGTGGGATTCATCCATTTATATTTCAATTAGCAGTTTGTCATTATCAGTAACCAGTTGAACAGTATGATAAATCCTGCCCACATGTGCTTTAAATAAACACAGAAGACACAAAAGAGCAATAATACACCAGGCAGCAGATGTTTAATGCTTGTATGTTTGTACAGCTAACATTTCATTGAAGCGCTTAGCAGAACTGATACACAAAATAAAAGGCACCATGCACAAACTAAATACATAAGACAAAAACAGGAAACCCATTATGTACAACATAAAAAATATATAATTTTCATAATCTTTGGGACTATATGTACAAAGGTTTAAAAATGTATTTACAAACACTCAACGCACATTCATGAGAATTTGACAAAACAACAACAACAAGTGCTTCCGTCAGCGATGCACGGGTTTATTTGTGTGTTTAGTGCCCATCAGCGTCTGACAGCAGGGCTGGCGAGGAGGCCCAGGATGGTGGAGAGACAGTGAAGCTTCTCTTTGACCAGCTCTGGTAACTTCTCATTCTCTTTATATCTGAGAGGAAACAAAAAGCATACGAATTCAGAACAGTATCTCTGCCAGCATTCATTCTTAAACACAACATCAAATCAAAAACAGACCTCAATTACAGTCTTTTAAATGTCCTTGGCCTTGTTTTGCAAGTAACAAAATGATATGCAATTGGATTATGACGTTCCATACATTGCAAATGCAGTTTAATATTTGTTTCTTAATAACAAGCTTTACCTGGTGATGTGTCCATCAGGGGAAGTAAAAGTGATGCAAGAGACACCAACTTGGACCATCAGCTGGGATCCATCATTAAACTGAACCCATACCTCACCAGTAGTTAACTAAAAAGGAATTAATTAATAAATAAACACACTTAAATGCTAATACTAATATATATATATATATATATACACACACACACATTCATGCATACATACATACATATACATACAGTATATATACACATATGGGTCATTGACATATAAGGATTTTCGACAGGCCAATTTTAAAATACAAAAAATTATATCTTTTGTAATTGTTCAAACATTAAGAATGCTGTGTACACATAAATTCATAATACAATTTTAAATGAAGTGATTTTAGTGTTTTTTCATCTAGATGAACTGGCCGTAGCCTTAAAAAATGTCATGTGGTGCCATGATTTATATTCAAATTAAATAATTTCCTTATCATGCTTAACATTTTTTTTTAAATGTTCTCAGTAATTAAAGTGTTTAGAAAAAGTATTTGCATTTTGATCATTGTAAATAATGATCTCTTATTTTTGTTCTATAATTTCAGTTGCCTACACATTTATTATTTACACACATTAATTATTATTATAATAAAAATAATAATTAACAAAGAAAAACACTATCTAGTCAAACGGTTTACCTGAGAGGCCCAGCCAATGTTAGGCACAAAAATGGACTTGAGCACCTTTCCCGTGTTAATGGTGCGTTCATCTTTGCCTGAGTGGGGTGAGCTGCCTTTAGCCACACTAGCTGTGGTGAAGTCCGATCCTGCATAGGAAATCATCTAGAGGGAAAGACATAAGTTACTGTTAATGAAACATTTAATTTCAGAGTGGGACACACTCTGCAATACCAAAACTGATGTGCTTTGGGATAATGTGCATGCATGACGTACTGATGGTGTGATGTGGGGTGGCTGGGGCGGACTGAGGCACACCTGAGCCACCTCTGCAGGTGCTGCTGGGCTATACTCAGACGAACACTGAGGCTGAGAAGCCGAAAAGGCTGGATTGGTGGGTCTCCTGATGGAGCATAAGATGGTGAATTCGAGACAAACTTCATGCATGACTTTTAATCTCAACCAATAGGGTGTGGCTGACAGTTTTATAGCTCTGGTGACAGATTTTAAGCCTCACCTGCCGATAGTGATGGGAAAGAATAGAGTGTTCTTTGCGCTTCGCTGCTCCTCAGCAGTGATGGCCGCTTCCAAAGACAGACACATTCGATGCCCCTAAGAACAACAACAAAAAACAAGCTTTGAATCTTGGTTAGCATTATAATAGCTGGAAGAACAATGTAGCAAGCAGTACCACCTGACTTTTGAAAGACCTTATATAAACATGCAAGCACTGAATGTGCATCTATCAAAATGCAGAACGACAATTTTACTCTTAAACATGTCAAGTCGTGCTTTCACAAAGTAGAAAACATGACGCAGTAATGCAGTACCTCCTCAGAGAGCTCCATGTAGAGTCTACACTCAGGACTCAGTCCGCTCAGCCCAATGTCGCCCTTCACTGTATACGATTTCCCATTCTTCTCCACCACACGCACCTGTTCACTCGTCTTATGGGTTTTTGCACCTAAAAGATGAAAAAAAGGTTCCTTAAGCCTAAATCAGCTACAATCAGCACTACACACAGTTCATTCTGCTGAGATCATCTGTGCCGCTCACCATCATAGAAGCACACCTCCAGGTCTGCATTAGGAGTGTTCTCCATCAGCATGCACTTGGCAAATTTTGTGTATAGCGTGACTTTAGGGGTCTTCGATTTCACCAACTGGACAAACTTCGTGGCATACTGATATTTCTTCCAGTATTTTTCTGCAGTAAATGCAAGTAAGTTTAATGCAATGCTTTTCAAATGAATAGAGACAGCTGAGGGAAACGGTGATAACTATTTATATTATAAACACATGACCCTTTCAAAAGCATTATCATCACTTTACTGAAGTATTGTATGGTGCTGTACCTGGTAAGTCCTCATAGCTGCAGATGAGAATGTCTTCAGGAGGTGAGGGTGGGTGGTCTAACACAGGGAAGCCTTTCCCTTCATTGGGCTGGTACACTGTAACCTAAAAACCATTGACAAAAAAACAAAAAAGAGCATGTGATTTAATCCTCATAGCTGCAGATGAGAATGTCTTCAGGTGGTGAGGGGGGGTGGTCTAACACAGGGAAGCCTTTCCCTTCATTGGGCTGGTACACTGTAACCTAAAAACCGTTGACAAAAAAAAAAAAAAAAAAAAAAAGGTGAGTGAAAGATCAAAAAAAGATTCACAAATATGAATCATTTTCTCCACTAATGACAAATAATCAATGTAAAACTATAAATGTCTTTACGGGCACTTTTGATCAATTTAATGCATCTTTGCTGAATAAAAGTAGGAATTTCATTAAAACAAATCTCACTGAC